AAATACACTGATTAATTTATCTAATTGCAATAGAGCAGTTGAAATAAATCTTTGTGCAAATAATTAATTTAATTATGAGCAAAATTGCAAACACAATCTTAGCCTTTATAATGAAGTAATAAAATAATAAAGTAATTAAATTAATAAATTGCTCATATTTATTCAAGTTAAAAAAATACATAAAAAAATATATTTTTCTTAGTTAAGTAAAACTAACTAACACTAGTTATACTTATTAATTAAATTGAACTTATTAATTAATCTGTTTGTCACAGAGTTGTTGAAATAAATAATTAGTCTTTGAGCCATTAAATAATTCTAAGTAAAATTGCAAAGACAATCTAATAAAGTGCTCACATTAACTAAAGTATATAGCTAATTAAAAACATGAAATATCAATTAAAAGATATTATAATTACAATTATTTTATTAACATTGTATAATACAATAATTTCAACATATTAGTAGCTAATTTTAAAATATTAATATTTTCCACTTCAATCTGTTTAAGAAGCCATGGATTTTCATTCAAATTAAACGTGTCAAATTTTTCTTTCAATGTTTTATGCTAAAAACTCATGCATATATATCCATGGCTTTTTACTCAATTCGTGGATTTCTAAACTGAACTTTAAATTTGCTTAATTGAAATTGACTCGAATATTAATAGTTGATAATAAATTAGCAAGTATACACAAGTTCAATTATATATCACAGAAATTGATAAAAATTAAATTAAATTAAACACTTACAGATAAAGTTAAATAATTTTATTTGATGGCATTACACAAATTTATATATAAGTTAGATCGTTACATTACAAATATTAATTATATTATTATAAATTAAAACAACAAATTGAACTAATACAACAATGTATTTATGTATTTGATAGATAGATGAATATATTGTAAGTATTTAAGTCATAACCCTTGATTGAACACACAAATAATTTTTGCTCGTCCAAATGCTAACACATCAGCACGTATCTTCTCTAGGAACCCCATTGAATTAATGTTGTTCCTGACAGCAAGATAGGAACAATGCAGGCACGTGTGTAAGCATCCAGAAGCGATCATTGCTTACCCTGTAAACAAAAGCATTTAATTAGTAATAATTCAGACTACTATAATACATTATAAAAATGTAACTCACCAAGTATTTTCTTCTGAGCCGTTTCACTAAGTCTTCCTAAGTAAACTGCAACAAGTGGTTTTTATTGTAACTGATCAAACTACGTTATTAAAATGTTAGTATTGTTAATAAGTTAGTAAGACTACTGGTAAGAACATGCATAAGACTAAACAGTTACAAAAAGAACCACTTGTGCAAATTTATAAGAATTAGTGTTCCAAAACCCAAGCAGTTGATTGTCGACTGATCCTTCATGAGCACTTAGTCTGATTAGAGTCGATTGATTCAGAAGTGGATAATTGAATCTGAAATAAAAAAAAACAAAAGATTAGAACACGTCTTTTAAAATGTTTGATAAAGGATACAGACTGCCTGATAGATACTTGATAAGTTCTTACTGTTTGATGGATTATAAGCGATGAGGGCTGCTGATTCAGAAGTGGATAATTGAATCTGAAATAAAAAAAACAAAAGATTAGAAAACGTCCTTTAAAATGTTTGATAAAGGATACAGACTGCCCGATAGATACTTGATAAGTTCTTACTGTTTGATGGATTATAAGCGATGAGGGCTGTTGATTCAGAAGTGGATAATTGAATCTGAAATAAAAAAACAACAGATTAGAACACGTCCTTTAAAATGTTTGATAAAGGATACAGACTGCCCGATAGATACTTGATAAGTTCTTACTGTTTGATGGATTAAAGGCAATGAAGGCTGCTGATTCAGAAGTGAATAATTGAATCTAAAATAAAAAATAAAAAAATTATAACACGTTTTTTTAAAATGTTTGATAAAGGATACAGACTGCCTGATAGATACTTGATAAGTTCTTACTGTTTGATGGATTAAAGGCGATGAGGGCTGTTGATTCAGAAGTGGATAATTGAATCTGAAATAATAAAAAAAAAAAAATTATAACACGTTTTTTAAAATGTTTGATAAAGGATACAGACTGCCTGATAGATACTTGATAAGTTCTTACTGTTTGATGGATTAAAGGCGATGAGGGCTGTTGATTCAGAAGTGGATAATTGAATCTGAAATAAAAACAACAAACGATTGGAACACGTCTTTTAAAATGTTTGATAAAGGATACAGACTGCCCGATAGATACTTGATAAGTTCTTACTGTTTGATGGATTATAAGCTATGAGGGCTGCTGATTCACAAGTGGATAATTGTATCTGAAATAAAAAAAACAAAAGATTAGAACACGTCCTTTAAAATGTTTGATACAGGATACAGACTGCCCGATAGATACTTGATAAGTTCTTACTGTTTGATGGATTATAAGCGATGAGGGCTGTTGATTCAGAAGTGGATAATTGAATCTGAAATAAAAAAAAAAAGAATTATAACACGTTTTTTTAAAATGTTTGATAAAGGATACAGACTGCCTGATAGATACTTAATAAGTTCTTACTGTTTGATGGATTAAAGGCGATGAGGGCTGTTGATTCAGAAGTGGATAATTGAATCTGAAATAATAAAAAAAAAAAAATTATAACACGTCTTTTAAAATGTTTGATAAAGGATACAGACTGCCTGATAGATACTTGATAAGTTCAAACCAGTGTACGATTATAGACCAGTGTACGATTATAGACCACTGTACGAGTATAGACCAGGCCGCAGGCCATTCGAGGAAAAGTAAGAGGAAAGTCTGAAGTTATGTCAAATATGTCTATAAAACTAATCAATAAATCATTATTTAACAGAATTCTTAATTCTAAGTATAAAAATATTCTGATACTTATATTTGTTTGCACAACGAATGCTTTAATATTGAAACTTCTGTATATGCAGTTTTCACAATGAAGCCATTTGGTTGCTGTTCACTTCACATTGTCTTGATTTATCAGAACTGACGGATGATATTCCTTTATCATACCTATAACATTAAAATAGTTTTAAATATTCATGTAATATAATTAAATTATTTTATAAGTAAATAATTAATGGAAATTAAAACAACAAATTGAACTAATACAACAATGTATTTATGTATTTGATAGATAGATGAATATATTGTAAGTATTTAAGTCATAACCCTTGATTGAACACACAAATAATTTTTGCTCGTCCAAATGCTAACACATCAGCACGTATCTTCTCTAGGAACCCTATTGAATTAATGTTGTTCCTGACAGCAAGATAGGAACAATGCAGGCACGTGTGTAAGCATCCAGAAGCGATCATTGCTTACCCTGTGAACAAAAGCATTTAATTAGTAATAATTCAGACTACTATAATACATTATAAAAATGTAACTCACCAAGTATTTTCTTCTGAGCCGTTTCACTAAGTCTTCCTAAGTAAACTGCAACAAGTGGTTTTTATTGTAACTGATCAAACTACGTTATTAAAATGTTAGTATTGTTAATGAGTTAGTAAGACTACTGGTAAGAACATGCATAAGACTAAACAGTTACAAAAAGAACCACTTGTGCAAATTTATAAGAATTAGTGTTCCAAAACCCAAGCAGTTGATTGTCGACTGATCCTTCATGAACACTTACAGTCTGATTAGAGTCGATTGATTCAGAAGTGGATAATTGAATCTGAAATAAAAAAAACAAAAGATTAGAACACGTCTTTTAAAATGTTTGATAAAGGATACAGACTGCCTGATAGATACTTGATAAGTTATTACTGTTTGATGGATTAAAGGCGATGAGGGCTGTTGATTCAGAAGTGGATAATGGAATCTGAAATAAAAAAAAAACAAAAGATTAGAACACGTCTTTTAAAATGTTTGAGAAAGGATACATACAGCCTGATAGATACTTGATAGGAGCTTACTGTTTGATTGACTAGAGTGGTTGGGTTGAATGGGGCAGTTGATTCAGTAGTGGAGAATCAAATCTTTAAAAAATTAGAATACATCTGTTAAAATGTTTGAGAAAGGATATCTACAGCCTGATAGATACTTGATAAGAGCGTACTGTTTGATTGACCAGAGTCGGTAGGGTCAAATGGGGCAGTTGATTCAGTATTGGAGAATTTAATTTGAAATAAAAAAAAAAACAAAAGGTTAAAATACATATCTTAAAATGTTTGAGAAAGGATATATACAACCTGATAGATACTTGATAAGAGATTACTGTTTGATTAATTGGAGTCGATAAAGTCGGTTGGTTCGAATGGGGCAGTTGATTCAGTAGTGGAGAATTTAATCTGAAACAAAAAAACAAGAGATTAAAATACATCTTTTGAAATGTTTGATAAATAACACATACCTCTGAAGTGAGTAAAGTTATCTGCAGGTTAAAATTAAATATAGAAATCCCAGATTCAAACTATTTCATGGATTGATAACATTTAGTGCTCACACTTTGTCCTTAATTGATTTTTGTATCATGGCCTCCAAGAACGCCCTAAAAGTGATGAAAAAATTTAATGCATCAATATAACAACTTATGCATATCAAAATAAAAATAAATTGGCGCAATGCTATATGGCTTGCAAACGGCAGCAACTGTTTATAATTGACAATAGTTTAATAATTATATAATTAAGTAATACATTATGTTGAATGATTCAGATTATTACATTCTTGTTTAATAGTGGATTATTCTGTTAGTGTGTCAGTCAAAACTAGAACTACAAATGCTACCTACATAACTTACTACTACCCCAAACTACTATATTAGCATGCAAGTAATTATCTGAATCATGACATTACATAATATGCTAACATAGTACTTAAAAAAATGATTTTATAGCAAGAGGTTGTATCAAATAGATACGATCGCGCCCGACAATGATTTGTTTAATTTTGCTCGTTTTCATAACACACTTATTATTATTGGGTACTTCCCTGGGTTATCTCTCTTGGTCCTGGAGGTCCTCTTGCGTTGCTGCCCATCACACAAATAAACGAGTTGACAACCGCGTGGACCAATCAAGTCGCCGGCGGAGCCACTTGACACGGCTCAAAAATGACATCGTGCGCAAAAAAATTCGAATTGGTCCGATTAGACTATTATCAATAATATTAAAATTAATTTTAGTTATACTGTTCAATTTTTAATTAAAACTAAAAATATATAAAAGTAAAAATAAACAAATAGATAAATGAATAAAAAATAATTTATATGAAAAATCGCAAAATTGAAAAGAATAAACTAAACTAGTTCGTATTGGTATTTTGCCTTGAGGCTGCTGGAACTTCCCATACCGTAACAAAATGTTCGAGAAATACTGAATGTTTTCAAATAGATTATTATAAATATTGTAATAATTGTCTAATATTTATAAGAATTATATAAACTGAATTGCAAAGTTGAAATTGTTTGTTTAAAGTATATTAGAACTATAGTCAGAATAAAAAATGAAATCTGAATTATTTTCGACATACAAAAAAAAATTTTTGGAAAAAAAAAATTTGAAACAAAATTTTTTTTTTCCAAAATCAATTATTTTGTTAAGACAAGCAGAAAGTTTTTTGAATAATTTTAGAAACAACCTAATGGTTCATGACGTGCCTTAAGGCAAATTGCTAGAACTTTCCATAACGTAATAAAATATCCAAGTAATATTAAACGTTTTCAAATAGATTATTCTAAATAATGTCACTTTCATTATTCGTATTTTATAAAAGACTCGAAATTTTGAAATCAAAAATAAAATCGAAAACTTCGGTCTCTCAAAAAGTACAAAGAAGAAAATAAGAAGAAACCATCCACAAACGAAACACATACACATCAAATTTTTCTATGTTTTGCCAAAACTTTCAAAAACTTTTAAAACGTGATGATATGCAAAAATTTTCATTTTTGATTTTTGGACGATTACAATAATCGTAGATGAACTACAGAAAGTTCATAAATTATCAAATGGGTAAGTAAAAAAACGAAAAATAAACAACAAGTAAAAAATATCAATTGTATGCATAAATAAATAAATGATTAAAACTCGTGAATGAGTAAGTGAATAATAAAAAAATTGAACTATTTGTAAGCGGTATTTTAAGACACGTTACATGATCTTTGCAATATAGTGTAAATAATCGACTTAATAAATTAATTTATGAGTGATTTATTAGTATTCCAAGTGGATTTATTACACGTTATTGTAATAATAGAAAGTTAAATATATAAAACAAAATTAAATAAAATGAAAAAAATATGAATAAATTTTTAATGACAATATCAAAATATTAAGATGAATAAATAAGCAAATTATTAAATAAATTGCATACCTTGATGTCTCTACGCGTATTCCGTTTAATAAATAGCCTTTTCCAGAAAAGTCTTTTTGATCCCTCAGCAGACATCGTCTCTTATGGGTTGCCATCCTTAATTGTGGTTCATCAGTAACCTGTATCAAGAAAAAGTATCAATACAGAGCCTACATAATAAATCTTGTACAAATATTTTGAATATTTAATTATTTTGAGGTATGATAATTATGTGATTAGTTTTACATATTTTATTTGAACTGTAAGCATTAGCAGTTAACAATTGAAGCTTAGAGTATGTTTCTAGAAAGACTACGTATTGATCTTGTCCTTGTAGTATTTTACAAGTGTATATTAAAAAGCATATATGGATTACTCTTTGTCTATGTATGTATGTCTATCTGAAATTAAATACTGCACGTATCTTTGACTAATTATTACGGTAATTCTTGTTATGACAAATAAAATTATTTCAGTGTTTATATGACTTAGCCTCAATGCATATTGCCTAGGAAACTTTAAATTGTAGCAGCCGTCAACAATAATATGTAACATTATTTTAATACTATGTCTTAAGTAAAAAATCAGAATCAGCGCAGAATTTTCTTGTCATGAAGGGGATTATATGAAAATACAGAGGCTTTTATAATTGAAAGAGCCAACTGCTGTAGAAATGTTAAAATGTATGGATGATAATTATAATACCTAAATCTTTTTTAATATGTTGAATACATTTCATTGTGATTGTGATATTCAATTGTAAAAAGTACTTTGGTTTGGAAATCATTAAATTAAAATTAATGCATCAGCTTCATTTACTTACAAAATATTTCATATAAGAAGCATTGATTGTATTAGCATTACAGAATCTTTCTAAAGAATTACTTCTAAAAAATTTTTGAGAATAATTGAAATCCTTCAACAATTTCAAAATAGAATCACATTATTATGCTCGAACCTGATTTGTCATAATTATTTTTGTTCATCACAAGCCAGGATCGCAATATAGGCAAACATAGAAAAAAAATATACGCCATTAAAACAACTCCCTAATGAAATTGAAAGACGAGCATCTGCATCAAAGCAATATCAATGGTCCTTTTCTCAATAATTTCTTATACTGCATGAAAACACTCGATATTCATCTATAATCGTATAAGATTTAACGCGCCATTTTTCTTCTCAAAGTGTGAAAAACCAAACTAACCTCAATCAAAATCTGTCATTATGTAGCGATGGGTATTTGTAGCACATATACTCTTCTTTTATCTATGCACATCGGCCGTACAACCTTTTACTTTGACAGGGTACAATAGCAAAATAAAACGACTAACACGTGGCAAATGCACTTACGTACTACTTGAGTGTCCACTGACTTCCTATTACTGGAGTGTCCACTGCCTTCCTATTACTGGAGTGTCTACTGGCTTCCCAAGATCTTCCCGCGATGGCTGAGATTAAAATGGATTGTCCAATGACGCTCTGCGACCAAGGGTTCGTTCCATCCGAGCCAATCTGACAGTCCGAAACTGTTTCAAACTAGACCAAACTCTTTCTGATTTTTTCATGGCAGTTGGCAATGGTTTAGTTTGGATACATCCAACGCGTTCGAACTCGGAGATCACTCGATAATAATAATAATTATTAAAATAATATATTATTTTAATACATAAATATAAGTTTAATATATATATATATATATATATATATATATATATAAACATATTCTAATCAAATATAACTTAATTATATCAATGAATTTGCTTTTTAATATTTTCTAGTTATATATCGTTATGTCGCTTTAATCTAATATTCTACAATGTTTGGACTCTTGTAAATTCATTAAATTTTTAATGTTTTATTTGAGATTAAATAACATTATATTTTAATCGTATTGAATTGCGGAGTTTTTGTTTGTGACGGGTACAAACACAAAATGATAGTTTTAAACTCATCGGACTTGATGGAACGGATTACTGACAATTCGCAACAGTTTGGAATCCGAAATTTTGGATGGAACAGAAAAAAGTGTTCTGCGCATGCGCGGACGGTTTCGGACTGTCAGATTGGCTCGGATGGAACGAACCCCAAGAAACCTTGCGCTTGCTTGAAGTGTCATCCGGTCTCCTGTCACCTGTCATCAGGGTATACAACACATGAAATGTAGCAAACTCGGACTGCGCTGATGGAACTGACAATCCACAACAGTTTGGAGTCCGAATTTTTATGGCTCGTTTCCACTGCACGAACGCGCACGGCGAAATTAACAAGTTCCAAAATATCTAAATTATAAAACTCGCTGAAAATATATTAACATATTAAGTTACAGAATTGTATAATACAAAAAAAAATTGGGAAAAAAAATTGTTGGAGAAACATTTTGGGGAACAAATTTGTTGGTTTTTCTAACAAAGTTTTTACCGTTTTATTTGTGCAGAATTTTCAAATACTATACACTTTGTTTTATTTTGGGGAAATTTTTTTTGAGAAAAATATATATCCATGCCTTTTTGTCATGAAAGGTTGATGGGAAAAATGTGTATGTTTTAGATGAATTCGATTTGAGTGTAAAACCATGAATATCCACGACTTTTTGATATGTAATATGTAATTTAGAAAAAATTTGGGAAAAAAAATTGAGGAAAAAAATTTTTTGGAAAAAATATTTGGGGAAAAAAAATTGTTTAACAAAAGTTTTGAGGAAAAAAATTGTTGGAAAACAAATCTGGGGAAAAAAATTGCGGAAAAAAATTTTGGGGAAAAAAATTTTGGAAAAACAATTTTGGTGCAAAAATTTTTTTTGAAAAAAAAATCGGGGTAGAAATTTTTTGGAAAAAAATTTTGGGTGAAAAAATTTTGTGAAAAAAAATTTGGGAAAAAAAATATATATCACATATCCAAATACTATATTTAGTAGATTATACACTTTGTTTTTTACCGCATATATTCAAATCTACAGTTTTTTATATAAAAATTTATCTATCACATATCCAAAGACTATATATTTAGTAGATTATACACTTTGCTTTTTACCGTATATATTCAAATCTATTTTGGAAATAAATTTGGGGAAAAAATTTTTTGGAAGAAAATTTTGAGAAAAAAATTTTGGGGGAAACAAATGGGTAAAAATTATTGGAAAAAGCTTTAAAAGAAATTCAACAAAACTTGTAAAATGAAATATTAAAAAATGTTCAAAAACTTGAAAATTAAAAGATTCAACACTGTTAAAAAGCTCACTGTTATCCTTTACAAATTTAATTGAAAATATTTAAATATAGCAATGAGCCAAAAATCGAAAATAAAAACGGTCCAGCCGTTACGGAGATGAATAGCGAAGAGTGCAGAAAATAGAAATCGAGTTTTTGAGAGAGCGGAGCATCCGATTTGAATGATCTATAAAACATTCAATTTGTAATGATTGAGAGAAGTGGTTATTAGTTTTTGGCAAAGGCAGGTCCAGTCAATTCGAAGATACAGAGCTGAATGTACAAAAAGCATCCGATTCAAGTGATTCAAAAAACTTTCTGCTTGTGTTGACGAAACAATTGCTTTTGGAAAAAAATTGTATCATTTTTTTTATCAAAAATAATTCAGATTTCAATTTTAATTCTGGCTAATGTTTTAAAGCTCACTTAAATAAATAATTTTCACTCTGTTATTCAGTTTATACAATTCTTATAAATATTAGACAATGTCACAGTATTTATAATAATCTATTTGAAAACATTTAATATTTCTCGAACATTTCGTTACGGTACGGGAAGTTCCAGCAATTTGCCTTGAGGCACGATGCCATACACCACTAGTTAGATCTTGAATCAAATAATAAACTTGTGAACAAAATTATGTTTAGTCTAATCCCTAGGCAATATTAGAATACCCCGTGGTCTAATCATTCAAGTCAACTCTTCACAACTTTGATTGCATGTCCTGATGAAAATTGTTTTTAGTAATAAAAGAATAAATTTCTATAATTTAACTATGCAGCAATATAATTAAATAAATTAAATATATAAAATTACAATGAAAGACTTTTAAAAGCCGCATTCAATTGATAACTCGGAGTCATATTGAGTATTTTAAATATTTTGATCAAAACCAACAATCGTTTTATCAATAATAAGGATGTAGATGTAGACAATATCGCTACAGGAAAACCACATAATTCTTGAAACTAGAAATGTATTTAAAAAAAATCTTAGAATAAGAAACAAGAGGTGTTATAAAAAAGATTTTTGAAACAAACTTTTCCTTTATAAAATAGAAAAAAAAATCCTTGGCACATGAAATGTATTTGCTGTTGAAATGCTTTCTAAAAAACAGACACTTTAGAATTAGAATTCTATCTCAAATACCATCAATTCAGGAGTTGCCTAAGGAGGAATGCTAGGGCGCCTTCAACGAATAAATAATTAATACATACAAAACGCAAAAGTATTGGTCAACTTATAATTTAGTAACAAACATTTGATATATACGAATCAGCTCATAGTTTTATTTATAGAATAAAAGTATTTCTGATTGACTATTTATGGAACTGTAATAATAAAATTACTTTCAATGTCTTTGATACGTACGAGAAGTACAAACTTTTTTCTTTTATATTGATTTAAAACATGTATAGAATGCACTTGTAATTAAATAAGAACATAGTCTTTTACACATATGCCTGCCACATTAGTTTAATATCTTTTATTCACATAATAGTTGTTGAATAAACAAAAATAAATTGTATTTGTATGTATTGAAAAAGCAACTAATTAATAAAGTTTACCTTATTAAAAAATTAATTTGACTCAAATATAATAATATGAACAATATTTTCAGCAGATATATGTATGCAAAATAATAATAATGAACAAGCCAGAAAGTATTTCACTAAAATATATACAGCTTTATAAATGATATCCGATAACGGACAAGTTCTCAAATAATTTCTCTGGTTTCAATATATAATTTTATATCGACAGCAATATGAACATTATGAAAAACAAACATAAAATATATTATTAATAAGAAATATTATTATTACAAGTATAAAAAGTAGCATTTAATACAAACTCGGTCAGAAATTGTAAACTCTCGTCAGAAAATAAATTATAAGTAATATCTTTTTATTTATTAACTTCCCGAAGTAAAAGTTTATGTTTTCATAAAAAAAATCCGAATCGCTAATTTTATGTTTTCTCGACGTTTCAAGCCATTCTGAATCGAATGAGACCAAATTTGGAAAAAGTATGTGTGTGTGTGCGTGTGTGTGAACAGATTTTTTGCCGTAAATCGACGTTTTCTCAAAAATGGTTGGACCGATTTCAAAAATTTAAAATCCATTCGATGTATCTCGATGAGGACTAGCGTTTATCAATTTTGCGCGACAATCAGCCAAGCCGTTTCTTGATAAATAGCAGAAAAATGAAATTTTTTTCGTCCACGTTTTAGCCCGCAGTTCTGAATCGATCTTGAAAATTCAAAACCGTTCGAAGGATATTGATTGGGAATCGTGCTGATGAGTTGTTGGTAGTGATCGGCCGGGCCGTTTTCTTGTTATAAAGTTAAAAAAAAAAATTCGACGATTTTTATTATTATTTTTTTGACGGTAGATACCATAGTCTTCTAGATTATTCTAAAATATTACGGCTCCACGACAATTGGTCTAACTTTGAAAATTCGTCAAAGTTTGCAAAAATTGGTATCGTTTTTTTGGTTAAAAAAAAAATTCGACGATTTTTATTATTATTTTTTTGACGGTAGATACCATAGTCTTCTAGATCATTCTAAAATATTACGGCTCCACGACAATTGGTCTAACTTTGAAAATTCGTCAAAGTTTGCAAAAATTGGTATCGTTTTTTTGGCATTTGACAAAATTAAACCTTTGACCGACGTTTTCTCAAAAACGCCTGACCCGATTTCATAAATTTAAAAGCCATTTGATGTATCTCAATGAGGACTATAATTTGTCAGTTTTGTGAGACGATCTGCCAAACTGAATCTGAAAAAAAAAGTGTTAAACTTTTCATCCACATTTAAGCTCAAACTACCGAATCGATTTTAAAAAATTAAAAACTGTTCGAAAGATATTAGTTGAGAATGATACTGATCAGTTTTAGGTGAAAATCTACCGAGCCGTTTTCTTTTAATAAACTGTTGAAAAAAAAAATTCATACGGATTTTCATGAAACTTTTTTTGGTGATATATATCATGATCTTATAAAACTTACTAAAATATCACGGCCTTATGACAAGTAGTTTAATTTTAAAAATTAATCAAAGTTTGAAAAAATGAGTAGTTTTTTGACGTTTGTTAAAATCAAAATTAGACGATTTACTTGGTATAACGATAGAGTACTTGAACTTAATGAACATACTAAACCATTAAAGTCCAACGAAAACTGGTTCAATTATAAAAACTATTGATTTGTAAAAATTTGCTTTCAGAAAATACTCCGAGTTAACGTGTTTTCAATGATGTGTAATAAATCCACTCGGAATATTTATAATCACTCATAAATTAAATTATGTTTTATTGATTAAGTCGATTATTTACATATATCGGGAAGTTCATGTAACTTGCCTCAAGGCTAAATACCAAACCAACTAGTTTCTATTTAAATTATAGTTACACTGAAGATGAAAAACAATATTGTATCGAACAACAAAGATTTTCATAATTATTTAATTTTTGTTTGAATTCAAAATTAAGAAAAACTTATATATATATATATATATATATATATATATATAACAAAGTCTAATAATCGGGCATAACATCAATAAAAAACATGAATTTCTTTCAAAAATTTATTTTAAATCCATACGTTTCGGCTATAATCCTAGCCTTCATTCAGTGGAAACTAAAAATAAAATTAAAAACTAAAACAATTGAATTGGAGTGAAAAGAAAAAATAAAATAGTAAATAGTACTTACAATTAGTTGATCTTAGTGTTAAATTGGAAAATTTTAATAATCCATGGTATTAGGATATGGTAATGCACTACACTATGTATTATAAACATTAACTTGAAATTACACAATATTTTCACAAAATACTGATTTGAAAAAATCACAAATGGATAGTGTGTTATTCGTAGACTGGTTGAAGATGTAATGGAGAAAGACGTTTTTTAAAATATTTTTACCAAGATTCTGCTCATGTGTGGAACGAATTGTAAATCCTTTGCGCGAACGCTTTTATTGTTTTGTAAGAAATTTGGAAATGTTATCTAAATAGAAGAGATTTGTGTCGCCAGTCCAATTTTTATACTATTTTATTTTTTCTTTTCACTCCAATTCAATTGTTTTAGTTTTTAATTTTATTTTTAGTTTCCACTGAATGAAGGCTAGGATTATAGCCGAAACGTATGGATTTAAAATAAATTTTTGAAAGAAATTCATGTTTTTTATTGATGTTATGCCCGATTATTAGACTTTGTTAATACATATGCCAACATCAAATTCAGAATCATACAATATATATATATATATATATATATACGTATATATATATATATATATATATATATATAAGCTAAATTTAAAACAGTATGGGTGCATTAGATTGTAGTACGTATATATATATATATATATATATATACAGTGGCGGCGCTAGACCATTCGTGGGCGTCGGCGAAATTCGTTTGCGAGGCCCCCCTTTTTTGCCAGTTGCAAGTTGACTAGTGGTACATGGCATCGTGCCTAAAGGCAAATTGCTGAAACTTTTCGCGCCGTAATTTAAATTTTTGAAAAGCTTTTAAAAAAATTGAAAAGTGAAAGAAATTGACTTTTTTTAATTTGAAATATTTTGTTGAAAATTTCGAACTTTTTTTCAAAGCAATCACGTTGCGTTAGCTGCTTAGAGACGAAATATCGAAGCGCGTAAACGGCGCGTTGCAGTCTAACTTAACTCACGATTAATTAAAATCTTTATAAAATATCTGATCATTTGATGTGCATATGCCAAATGGCTTTTGTTGTGCTTTTTTACTGCATTTCCAAAACCGCTAGACCTGCCTTCCTAAAAATGTAATCAGTTTGGCACTTTTTGCCCCGTATATTCGAAACGGCTTATCCTGCCTTTGCCAAAAACTAATCAGCACGTCTTCTTACCTTCAATACATGACAAATGTTTTCTGAATTTTTCAAATTGGTTGATCCATGTTCGCAAAATCGTCGACGAAAATTTGCCAAAATGTTCAGAAATCTTTGAAGATTTGCGATTACTATAACTGTATATGAGATTTATTTTTAATCAGATAAATACACCAATTAAAATAGACAAAAATTACACAAGTTAAAATAAACAAACTCTTCGGCAAAAATGGTTTGTTCTCCAGCTATTAAAAAAGCACTAAAATTAAATAATTATCGCAAAAAAATTTTTCTTTGCCCAACCATTTGATTAGTAAATTTTATGTTTTTTCGATCATTATGAATAAAAAATGGTTGGAAATCACCGACTTAATAATAATAGACAAAATTTTGCAATCTGCAAGTGATTAATTAGATTTAAAAAATCTATGTTTATACTAATTTGAGTGCACAAATCCGCACATCACATAGTAGGTACACATGGTCTGAAAGCTCGTCCCATTATTTTAAAATTTAATGAGTTTTTATAATTAATCATTTATCGTAGTTCCATAAAATTTATGTTAGATGATACTAACAAGTTTTTGAAAAAAGATTTTTACAATAAATTACGAAGAAACTGTGCGCCCGATCTTGACGAAAAACAATTCAGGGCGATCGCCAACTGAAAACTTTCGATCAGTTTTTGAATTTTTAAAATTGGTTCAAAAATGCCAAAATGTCGTTTTTTTAAGACGCTTTAATTTTTTGTCGACGACATCAGAGCCGATCAACCGATTTAAAGGATTTAAAAAACATTCGATTTGTGTTGGTAAATTGTCAAAGCCAAGTTTAGCGGTTTTGGAGATACAAAAAAAGTTTAAAAGGTTATCAATTTTATTTGAAAGAACTGATCATCCCAATAGAATGTTTAAAAAAATATATTGTTTGTGTTGACGGTGTGAAACAATAATTAGTTTCAAATTAACAGTTTTTGCTATTATCTCATTGTTATTTCTCACTGATAAATTTTTATTGAACATTGATTACTTTTATTCCTCGAATATTTAATTACTGTTTCGATGATTTACATAGTGCTCACATAAGAAATACACAAATATAAACAACCAGAGAATTAGCTTGCGCGAATAAGTTGTTTAGATTTAATAATCTATAGTGTTGACAGACGATATTAGATAATGTCCATAAAAGATAAAAGAGTAAAATGATAGTGCCTGTAAACCACTAATCACCTTTTTTACTCGCACATCCGTATGAAAATTAACTAAATTTTAAATAATTAAAATATTTCCGGGGCCTCTTGCGAGGCCCCCCCAGGCGCGAGGCCGTCGGCGGCCGCCGACACCGCCGACGCCTCGCGCCGCTACTGTATATATATATATATATATATATATATATATATATTTGAATACTACATTTATATTTGAATTCATATTATCAAGGAAATTTAAAAAAAAAAACAATATACATTACATCATCGCGTTTCTCAACTTTTTGTTTTATGGAGTTAATTGATGTGTGCACTGAGCGGCTCATATATATATATATATATATATATATATATATATATATATATATATATATATATATATATAAGAATTTAGAACAGTATGATGGGTGCATTAGATGTAGTACAATAATTGCCTGTTTGTAATATCATTAGTATTGTATAAAACATGTTCTGCACTTACATTGTTAAAAATCCTTGGCAGCAGCAGCTAGCAGAACACAAAACTAATACATGAATCACCTCTGGAGCATTTGTATGAAATCTCAAGTACTTGACACAAAATCACTAATAAAAAACTTCTTCACTTTGTCTTTTACATTTTTTACGTTGTCATGTTGCAATTGTCCAAGTAAAGTCTTTACAAAACACACAAGTCACGACTTACATTAGAGATTTTTGTGAACAAAAACTTTGTTTGTTTGTAATTATCAAATTGTATAAAGAACAATAATTTTAAACTGGTTTGCTGAATGATGAGCTAGTATAATTCTTTTTTTCATCAAATTCATATTATGGCTGAAAAACTTTAATATATATATATATATATATATATATATATATATATATATATATATATGTTGATTTTCAGCCAATCGTCAGCCAATAAAAGAGAACAAATAATAAAATATTTATTTATACGAACAACGTCAAATAAAAAAATCTAAATCATATATATAAATATACATACATATATACATATATATATATATATATATATATATATATATATATACACCTAAGTTTGTTTTTACACAGTCTTTTTGTACACGGTTTTGATATCACACGGTTTGAAAATTGAATATTTTTAATTTTTTACACTTAATTTTATTTCATTTAGCACGATTTGAAATTTTATGTACTTCAATTTTTTTGTCAAATTTAATTTTTGCGAAGTATATACATATCACAAAAAAGTATTTATGAAAGAAAAAAGTCTGAAACCATCGATAGTATCGATAGTATGCGAACACTAGCTTAAAAATTTAAGTGAATTCCCCTTTAGCGCGTACAAACAATTTTTACTGGTCAAAGCAAATGTGAATAGCACTAATTTAGGGAAATACCCTAAAAATTCTTGTTTTTCACTAATTTTAATAGGTTTTAGAGATTAGGAACAAATCACCCATTTTTGTATAAGATCAATGTCTTTTTTACACGTTTTTTTTTTACACGGCTTCTTCTGGAACCAATCTACCGTGTAAAAACAGACTTAGGTGTATATATATATATATAGTTATTCAAATGTTTCCAGATGTTTCTTTGTTAAAATACATGTGGTTTTCCAGCAATCACAAGGAAGTGGATGCTCAATTTCATTGGCATCAATTAGACTTAGCTCCAAATTATATCTGAAAAGCGAATGAAAAACAAAATAAATTGATATTGTTTCAATTAAATAATGTGTCAATAAGAAAAAAAAATTCTATATAATTAATATGTTACTGCAAATCAAAAAAGTGGCATTTAGCTTTAAGGCAAGTTGCATGAACTTTCCGAAATGTCTCAAACACATTTAAATTAAATGTAATTGTATTAATTTAGTTGCACAGACACGTGCTTGTATACCCTAAAATTGTAGCTTATTATTTTAATTTAATGCTTATTATTTTTAATTTAATTTAATTTTTAATTTAACGAATTAATCGTGTTTGACTCATCACACCATAAAAGCAATTTTGACACATTTGTTTTTTTATAATTTTATTTTAAATAGCAATCAGAATACATGACTATTCTATGAGCTATTTGGCTTATGTCATTCTCTCACACACATACACACACAAAGGGTATGGGCGTGTTTCCATATAGAATTGGCCCCACCCTGGTATTTAAATTATTTTGATGCCATTTTATAGGTATTTTTGAGAAAATTCGAAATACCAAATTTCAAATCCGTAGCTTATCATTTGGCCGAGATATCAGTGAAAACATGTGAAAGTGGCCCCTTTTTTCAAACTCACTTTTTGTCGGAAATATGAGAGATATCAAAAAACTGTTAACGTCATTATATTTGTACTGACCTTGTCTATGTTGTTCATAACAAATAATGTGAAAAAATAATTTTTTAGTGCGTGAAAAGATGAAAATGATTTTTCATTTTCCATTTTCTACCAGTGCGGCTTTTTTGACTACTTTTATATTAGCATCATTCGAAAGCCTGTACATTTTTCTTCTATTATTCAAATATTCATTTAAATCTAAGTGGGTTTGGGAGAAAAGTTGGAAAAACTTAAGCTAGTACGCGCGCTGCCGGTACAAGAACGCCCATATAAAGTCGCTTTGCAAGTGCGACGAGCAAGCATAAGGCTCGTTGTTTTCGCGCGTCTCGACAAATTATGTATATAAGTATGGAAATATTTATTAAAAACCAAAATTTATTTAATCTTGTATATAAGTATATTCATTAGTCATAATAAAAAATCCAACGCGCCGAATAAAACAATAATTATTATTATTGATTATTTTCATTCGCCGTATAAGTTCTGACTAATATATTTCAATATATGAAAAACTTAAGATTTCATTATTATTCATATATTAAACTAGTTGGTTTGGTATTTAGCCTTAAGGCAAGTTACATGAACTTCGCGATATGTGTAAATAATCGACTTATTCAAAAAAAATGTAAATAATATACTTCATCAATCCTACTTTACGAAAAACGATAATAATTTTAGCAAAGTTTGACAATTTTTTAAAATTAAACTACTTGTCGTAAGGCCGTAATATTACAGCAAGTTCTATAAGACCAGGATGTATATCGCCAAAAAAAGTTTCATGAAAATCGGCTTGAATCTTTTTTTCAACAGTTCATTGCAAGAAAACGGCTCGATAGATTTTCACCTAAAATTAATCAGTACCATTCCCAACTAATATCTTTCGAACAGTTTTTGATTTTTTAAAATCGGTTCGGTAGGATGAGCTTAAATGTGGACGAAAAGTTTAACCATTTTTTTCAACAGTTAATTACAAGAAAACGGCTCGGTAGATTTTCACCTAAAATTAATCAGTACCATTCCCAACTAATATCTTTCGAACAGTTGTTGATTTTTTAAAATCGGTTCGGTAGGATGAACTCAAATGTGGACGAAAAGTTTAACACTTTTTTTCAACAGTTAATTACAAGAAAACGGCTCGGTAGATTTTCACCTAAAATTAATCAGTACCATTCCCAACTAATATCTTTCGAACAGTTTTTGATTTTTTAAAATCGGTTTGGTAGGATGAGCTTAAATGTGGACGAAAAGTTTATCACTTTTTTTCAACAGTTAATTACAAGAAAACGGCTCGGTAGATTTTCACCTAAAATTAATCAGTATCATTCCCAACTAATATCTTTCGAACAGTTTTTGATTTTTTAAAATCGGTTTGGTAGTATAAGCTTAAATGTGGACGAAAGGTTTAACACTTTTTTTCCAAATTACAAAGAAACGGCTCGGCCGATCGTCGCACAAAACTGAGAAACGATAATACTCATCTAGATACATCATATGCTTTTTAAATATCTGAAATCGGTCCGGCCGTTTTTGAGCAAACGTCGATGAAAGTTCTAATTTTGACAAATGCCAAAAAGATCATACTAATTTTTGCAAACTTTGACGAATTTTTAAAGCTAAACCATTTGTCGTAGGGCCGTAATATTTTAGTATGATCTAGAAGACTATGGTATCTACCGTCAAAAAAATAATCATAAAAATCGTCGAAATTTTTTTTTTGAAAACTTAATTACAAGAAAACGGCCCGGCCGATCTCTACCAAAAACTAATCAGCACGATTCCCAACCAATATCTTTCGAACGGTTTTTGAATTTTCGAAATCGATTCAGAATTGCGGGCTAAAACGTAGACGAAAAAATTTTCACTTTTCTGCGATTTATAAAGAAACGGCTTGGCCGATCGTCGCACAAAATTAACAAACAATAGTCCTCATGGAGATACATCGAGTGGCTTTTAAATTTTTGAAATCGGTCCAGCCGTTTTCGAGAAAACGTCGATTTACGGCAAAAAATCTGTTCACATACACGCACACACACACATACACACACACACACACATACTTTTTCCAAAGTTGGTCTCATTCGATTCAGAATGGCTTGAAACGTCGAGAAAACATAAAATTAGCAATTCGGATTTTTTGATGAAAACATAAACTTCTCCTTCGGGAAGTTAATAAACAAATGTAAAGAAACTCACCATACAAATAAATTTTAAAAAATAACACAAAGAACAACACAAAATTGCAACAAAAAAATAAGTATGAAATAAAAAATTGAAAAGACATCAAGTTATGAAAATTTTGAAAATTGTAAAAATTAATTAATTATTGTTCTTTGTGTTATTTTTTAAAATTTATTTGTATGGTGAGTTTCTTTACATTTGTTTATTTTATGTTTGTTTTTCATATATACTTTTCATATACACTGTTCTACTTATTTTTGTCTGTAATTATGTATTTTTTATATTATTTTTTATATTGTTTTAATTTGTAACCCTGATATATTTATTTGTAGCACTGAAGATGGGTCAAATCTGGACCCGAAACGTATGTTCTCTTAATAAAAACATTTTGCAATAAAACTGTTTTTTTAATTATTGGATGGATGCTCAAGAAAACAATTTTTATCATATACTAGCTGACCCGGCAAACGTTGTTTTGCTAAGTAAGGTATATTCTAAACAATTTCTAGAGAATCAAAAATATTAATCCTTTAAGTGTATAAGGATGTGTTGTTTCAATGCTATAAACCCCATTAGTTTGTCTATATTTTATCAATACAATCAAACTGGAAGTTTTATACACTTTCTATAGAAAACATGGTATAATCCAATCCAAGTCATTTTTGGTCTTTCGGCATATTGATTACGTTTCAAGTTTTTCAGATTCTTTTTTGACTCAAGATTTTGTGTATAATTGTAAATAATACTACTGAGCTTATACAAAATTTTCAAATTTCTGCGAGGAGAGAGAAAATAAATTAGGTATTTCTTCTTTAACCTGCTTTTTGAAAAGTTTCAAGTAACATTCGATGAATTGAAGTAAATTTAATAAAAAGTATAGAGTAGAGCAGGGCGAGGCGCAAATGTCCAATTTGACTTTGAGCATATATAAACTATATTATGAAAAGCAAACCAATAATATCACAACAAATGACACATTTCAAACGAATAATTATCTGACTACGTTCAGTAAAACTGCCAGCTACTTCATCATTGTAGAAATGTGCTTTTTTTTTTGCTGTCTTTCAAAAAATTGTTATCTAAACCTTTTTACCCCATTTACCCTAACTTGAAACGGCCAGGTGGCAAATAGGTTGAATGTCTTATTTTAGTTTTAAAGGTATTTTACAAAATAATTACACTTTTAACTAATGCTAAAAAACTGCCAACGGAAGAAAATACTTTTATTATGAATTTTCAAAGATTACAATTTATCTCCAGATAGCAAAGTCATAAGAATCAAGGTTATAGCTGCTTATACATTTTTTCCCCTCTAATTTCCAATTCCTTGTTAAACGATGCTTAACTTTACTGGTTTTTGACACATCGCTGGTGGACCTTTTTAACCCCAGACCTTCATATATTACTATCTATTCTTCGATAAATTCTACGAAATTATAACTGCGAAAATGTTATTCGGCAAAATGTCCCTTTGATCGATACCAAATTTAGGTTTTGAATTTAAATAACTTAAATAAAAAATAATATAACCTAGAAAATGTTTTATAAATACTAATGAGTATATAATTATACAAATGAGATCTATCAGAGCACCGTGTTTGAAAAAAAATATGCCAAAAAGTGCATTTTCATATTAACATTTCAAAAAAGTTGATATTTAGTTTCTAGTAACACTTGCGGTCCGTTTACTAACGTTTTTATATATATAAATAAAACTGCAAACCAAACTATTTACTACAATTTATTCATAATTAAATAATATTCACGTAAAACATCCTATGAAATGTAGGGTGCATTCGACTTGGACGCTTACGCGCTGTGAGCGCGCCGTGAGCGCGCTTTCATCGTTCGACTTGGCGCTGTGAGTGTCACATAAGTACGCTCGTAGCATCATCGTAGGATGCTCGTAGCACATATTTTGCGCTCACATATGCTCACGCCACAGAGGTAGGGCAGCGTGAGCGTGAGCGTCAGTTGTTTTTACTATCTGTCATTTCATTTGTTTATTAATTGTCAAATTCTTTATAATTCCGCAAAAATGGCAAGCTGTAGATCACAATTATTTTTTAATATTAATATTGATATTAATTAATTTTAAATTTAATTAATTTTAAATAATTTTAAATTTCAATTTTAATATTACTATTAATTAAGCATAAGCTGACCAAATTTCATTTATTTATTAATTGTTAAATTCTATATAATCCCGCAAAAATGCCAAGTTGTATATCACATTTATTTTTTAATATTAATATTAATATTAATATTAATTAATTTTAAATTTAATTAATTTTAAATAATTTTAAATTTTAATTTTAATATTAATATGAATTAAGCATAAACAAACCAAATTTCATTTATTTATTAATTGTTAAATTGTTTATAATCCCGCTGAATGATCCAGAAAGTAATAAAATTTACACAATTACCGTTACCGCCAGTTGCCGCCATTTTGATGCTTATTGACGCTCACAGTTTCCAAAACGAACGGAATTTAGTTATCGATTCTGAGCGCTTATCGGCCAAGTCGAACGCTAAAAATTCGTGCTTATAAGCGTGAGCGCTCACAGCGCGTAAGCGTCCAAGTCGAACGCACCCGTAATTGAACATCATCTGTCAAAATCGTTTGACATTTCACGTGTTAGCCACCGTCCATTGTTTTATTCAAGGAACGCTTCTACAAAAATTTTCAAATTAAAAATGTAAAGTTTCTACGCGATTTTGAAATATCTCACCTTTCCGACCATCTCTGGACCGGCACGAATTTTTCAAGACTAAGACTGGCCATCGATTCAGCCGTTTTCGAGTTTTATTCGGACATTTGAAAGAGCGCTCCATTTTTATATATAAGTATATATATATATATATATATATATATATATATATATATAATTGTTTAATATGAACAAAACAGCACTCAGATTTGTTTAACACAACTTTATTTTATGATTACAGACGTTTCGAGACCATGGTGTGTCTCATCTTCAGTGTAATTTCAAAAACAGTTACTTATATACTACACATTCTTTAATAATTTATTTAAATTTCATTTAATTTTTGATATACAAAAAACACGAAATTTTGTATATCAAAAATTAAATGAAATTTAAATAAATTATTAAAGAATGTGTAGTATATAAGTAACTGTTTTTGAAATTACACTGAAGATGAGACACACCATGGTCTCGAAACGTCTGTAATCATAAAATAAAGTTGTGTTAAACAAATCTGAGTGCTGTTTTGTTCATATTAAACAAAAACAATTAATATTCGTTCCACTCATATCATAAAATTCTATATATATATATATATATATATATATACTAGTCTTGCATCGAATATTCGGTTACTATTCGGTATTCGGCATATTCGGCATATTTTTTAATATTCGGGCGAATACCGAATAGTAACTTATTATTCGGCCGAATACCGAATAGTTAAAATCAAAGGCGCCGCCGCCGCTCAGCGACAGCATTGTTGGTATTTTATCTTTTATGCGATAAAGAGCTCGCGATGGATCTGTCTTTGGAGTTTAGGTTATATAATATGATATGAAGAAGTGATTTCGTCATTGTATATATAATAATTTAAACTTTATCGACTTTTGACATTATCACTAGATACTTTATTGTTACATGTTTATATTATTTAATATGAATCTTTCAAGGGTTGCACGTATGTGTTGTATCAATACAATAAGGTCATGCATCATATTCAATCTATTTCGATTTCCAAATAAAGAATTATTATTGTTTTTTTATCGCAAAATATACAAACAATATTTTTGATCATTTTTAATTTAGTTTGTCATGATTAGCATTCCAAATATATAAGAAATAATATTGAGTTTATAAAAAAAATATTAAAAGTTTATGAAAGAAATAATTCAAAATACATTTACATATATGTAAAAAATCGCTTTTTCATGGTTTTATCATTTATTTCCCTATCATGTGGTATTCAAAAATACGGTATTCGGCCGAATAGTATAATTGGTGCCAAATATTCCAAACAACAAAGAGTAGCCGAATAGTGGCAAGTCTAGGCATAAAATTTGAATAAACATGTAGAGCATCAGTAATATAACAATCACTGATAGTAATTACATTAATACAAATAGGCTTAGACGCCAAAAACCTGCCGAATATTCTATATATATATATATATATATATATATATATATATATATATATATATATTTGCCACCTTGAAACTTGACCTCGACAATACTAAATCCTATATAAGTTACTATACTGTATTCACGGTTATTCATGGTATATTTATGAAACGTGCCACTTGTAATTAAGAGGTTGTTTTGTATACAAATATATTTGAAAATATTTATTATTAATTTTATTTAATTTTAATTAAATTAAAATTAAAATTATAATTTTAATTTTAATTTGCAAATATTAATAAAACTTACTTTCTACAGTCTACACTTCTGCAAATGTCCAGATTCCAAGCTAATGGCTCACCTTCTTCCACTTGCTTTTCTTCAGGAAGTACTATAACAGTTTGCTTCCAATGAGTATTTTCATCAAAAGGCGATGTTGATAATTCTAATTTTTCCATCACAGAATTTTGCCCAAATTGACATTGAAACCAAATGCATAATCCTTGGATATTAGTTTTTTCTTTGGTAACTATAATAATTTTATGATATTATAAGATCTAATTAAGAAAAGAGATTAAAAGAAATCAGATATTCCAATATTAAAAGGTTCATTTTGTCAAAAAAAAAAAATAGTTTTAGTTGTTTATTATAATACAGTATTTGGTAGTTGTAAAATAGTTACACAATAATAAATAAATAGATAAAGATTGTCTGAACATTGTATAAAAAATAAATAAATGCATACATATATTCATACATAGACATTAAAGTCTTGATTAACAAAAATAAATTATAACAAATATATATATATATATATATATATATATATATATATATATATACATATATATGTAAGTGAATAAGTGGTGGAGTCCATTTGAATTATAAAGTTTTAATAGTTGTGTAAAATCGGCTGTTGGAAGCTGTTGGAAATTTGTAACATGTACTTAAATATGGATTATTTTTTAACCCTAATTGGATGTTGCAATTACTATTATCAGTAATGAGATATTATAGTTGATCAAATATGATTAATTATTAGATTTGTGCACAAGACGAATTTAATACAAAACAAATTTTTATTAATATTTTATGATAAATTTATAATAAAATAATAGTTATGTAAAATATAAATGATGATTTCTATATAGAAGCTGTAATAATGTCACTTTAAAAAGTAAATATAGAAAAAAAGCAAAACGGATGGGCTGGACATTTGAAAAACTTAAAAGCCATAGGAATAACTTGATAAGGAAGAGCCCGCAATTAAGTTTGCGACAAGATCGGCCAAGCTATTTTTTTTAACTACCGGAAAAATAAGACTACAAAACTCCTCTAGTTCTGTAAAAATAAATATCATATCATTAATTAAAATGATATGATAATATCAAAAACTATATACATGATATGCAATCGTGACCATATTTTCTTATGGCAGATGCTTAATATAACACAAAGCAATTTATTAAGTTTAAAAAAAAATGTTTCGACGTTTCCTATAAAATTTTAATATAGCGATAAAATTTGTGCACAAAAAAGGCCATACAATCTAAAATAAAATATTCAAAAAAAAATAGATATCTCATTGGAGTTAAACTCTTTAAAAGCATAAAGACCGGCATATTGTCCTAAAAATAATATATGTTTTGATTGACAATAAATATGTATATGCATACCAAAAAAACAATGTGTGAGAGATATCAATTAGAAATCGTAATGTTAAGATTTAATTGAAAGCAATAACATTATTTTCGAAATAAACGGTTGAAAATTTTATCTAACTAGTGGTGTATGGCATCGTGTCTGAAGGCAAATTGCTGGAACTTCCCCTACCGTAACGAAATGTTCGAGGAATATTAAAAGTTTTCAAATAGATTATTATAACCACTGTGTAATAATTATAAGATTTATATAAACTGAATTGCAAAGTTACAATTATTTATACAAAGTATATAAATAAGCTTTAAAACTTTAGCCCGAATTAAAATACAAATCTGAATTATTTTCGATATACAAAAAAAAAAAATTAAAAAAAAACTGTTGAAATGAAAAAAAGCAATTGTTTTGTCAACAATTTTTTTCCCAAAAGCAATTTTTTTCTTAACACAAGCAGAAAGTTTTTTGAATCATTCAATTCAGATGCTTAGTTCTCTCAAAAACTGCCATTTTTGGCAAACTTAGCTCGGTATCTCCGAAACGACTGGACCTGCCTTTGCAATCAGCACATCTCATCCCTATCAATAGGAATCTAATGTTTTTAAAGATATAAATATGAAAAAATGGAAAATGTATGTTTGACATGCCTGTGAAAAAAATAAAATTAAAGTTTTTGTCATAACATTATGTTGTCGATTCCAATATTTCTAAACACAAACTATAATCAAACAATGCATCAAACAATTTTGTTATGGCAAACACACTATATCCCCCCGCTGGACAGGATTGTCACATACTAAAAGTATCTTTGAAATTAGTAGTGGAAATAAAGAATTAAGTTCGCAAACTAATAGAAACTTCTATACCTATTGAGATAAGATAAAAAAAAATTGATCATTTAAAACCCACTTAAGTTCTTATAATCAAAATAGAATATTTTGGGGTAAAAAAAAGAGTTATAAAAAATTAAACATTATAGCTTATTAATTTAAGAAAACGGCTCTACAAACTATAAATTTATTTTCAAACCTGATATAAATTGTGCTGAAAGTTTTTGCAAATCCTCTAGTGTTATCGTTTTGAGATCCAACCAACAAATTACTTCAGGTTTTGTTAATATATGTTCAGGAAGAACAGTCATAATTTCAGGTTTTTCACACATTTGCTTTCTTAAATGAGAACCAAAACAATTCATTGAAACTCCATGAATGTTAGACCACTGATCAAAAAGTGAAGGCAATCTGCAAATTAATTCTTAGTTTAGGCTAGAGTAACACCACAATATTTGTTGATAATCAACAGCAAACATAATTAAAAAAAGAGGCTTAAATAATATAATCATATATATTGAAGAGTATGTTGTAAAAAACAACATCAGGCAGAAAACCACTTTTAATTCAAACTTTGAAAAACTCATAAAAATGATGTAGGTTTTAAAGTGTTTGATAAGAATTTCAACTAGTTAAGTGTTAAAGCAATAGCCAATGAAAAAAAATAAATAAAACAATATGAATTATTTTTATTGAATTCAAAGGTTTATATTAGGTAATGATAAAAACATAGATAAGGATAAAAACATTAAACAAAACCTAAACTAAAAAAAAACTTTTCTAGCAAAAAGATTTTCATTCGATTTTTTTTTTTGGAAAGACTAATTTTGTGTGAAAAAGCACTAATTAATCCGATGTCATAAACTGGCATGTATATATAAATATGTTGTATTAAAACTTTTTACAACCATATTTAGTTACTAGATTCATTCATAGGTTGCGCAGAAGGAAATCGTATCCGTTGAGTGAGATTAGTGATATATAGAATCCGTGTTATCAGAGGGACGTCGGATATTTGGCTATAAGTAATATATTTCGACAATAGTAATTTGTTAAGTCTGCCTAAAATGATAACTATTTTATAAAATGTAAATATATTTTATAAAAACAAGTTGGCATTCAACAAATTAAAATAATCATTCTCATATTTTAAGAACTATGGAAAAAATATAAATTACTAAAAATTTTAATAAGAAATAAATATACTGAGATTATAAAATAAACTAACCTACATAAAGCTGCTGATATTGAAGCAGACTGAGGAAACAAACAACCTTCAGGTTTAAGAAAATTATCTCTAGCGTAAAGAACACTATCAAGCATACCTTCATGTAAAAGGTAAAATCCCATCCATTCAGATATTATAATATCAACCTTTTCATTATCTACTAATTTGAGATCTTCCACTTTACTATATTTCACCTTTAATGAACTAAATATATTAACAATATAATCAATATATATATATATATATATATATATATATATATATATATATATTAGGGTGGTCCTTAACATAGTCATTTTCGAATTTCCTTGCTCCCAATGGCTCAAATGGCTCCAAATTGATAAAAATAATTCTCTGAAAGTTTTAGCTCTTAATATTAACTTTTTTTTTGGAACCATTCGAGCCCTTGGGAGCAAGGAAATTCGAAAATGTCAATATTTAGGACCATTTATTTTTATATATATATATATATATATATATATATATATATAAATGGTAGAGTCTTGGATTTGTGTATATTTTGTAGAGTTTCGAACAAGAATCCAAAAAGTAATACAAAACAAAAAAAACTATTTCTTTATTCATTTATTTATTTACTGTCGACGTTTCGGAACTAGGTACGTTCCATCTTCAGGACATCTGTCAAGAAACATGATCTTGATGAGATTTAAGCAAACAATATGTTTAAGAAAAGAAAATGGCTTTTTCTTAATTAATAAATTAGTTGAAAAAATAATAATGTACAGAAATATGATATTATGATCAAAATGAAAATGATAAAAATAAATGAGTGGATTATCTAACAGGATATTAAAAATGATTATTTTTTTTTGAATGTTATGGAAAATTTTAAGAAAAGGTTAAAGACAAAATTGAATTAATTACCTGTATGTTTGAATATACGTTAGCACTTTTTCACTAAACAAGATTTTAACAAAAATTGAATTTATGAGTTATTTTTCAGACGAATAGGTAAATTTTGTAAATTAAAATTACTATAAGTTTTATCTTTTTTAAAATTATTATTTGAAAACACAAATAATATTATTCTCTCAATTTTTATTACTTTTTGGATTCTTGTTCAAAACTCTACAATATATATATATATATATATATATATATATATATATATACAATATATATAATATAATAAATTATTTTAATCATACCAATATAATTGAATATGAATGTAAATAATAAACTAATCTAAATACAGCATCAAACCCCTATCAAATTGAAGTATTTAATTTTAATTTTAATTTAACTTTACTTTTACTAAAATAATGTTAAACTAAAAGAAATATTGCTTAAAATAACATTGTTAAAATGTCAATAAGTTGATTCGACCAAAGGAGTAGAGTTGATTTACTTGATTTTGAATCACTTTTACAAGTCAACATATCTAATAGAAAGTAAAATACACTGCACATGATTATTGGTAATTATAATGTAACTTTTGTCAAAATAAACTCAAATCAGATATGTTATTTCGAAAATAACATTTTCAAACAAATAATGAAATAGCTGTAGTGGCTACCATGAATTTTATTTAAAACTATTTAAACGGCAATATTCAAAAATATATCTTTTCAATTATTTGGATAAATAATATAGATAAGAAAAAATAAGAAGGTAAATAAAAAATAAGCTAAATAGAAATAAGAACATTTCAATGATTGTTTTGCATTTTCATTTTAAGATATTATGAAGGCTTTTTGAATGTCAGCATATAAAGAAATAAATAAGATGTTACTAAAATTATTATGCATAATCTACGTTCTACCTGTACAATATGTTGTACTTCATTCTCTGCAATAATTTGTTCTGCTAATTTTGCAAGTGCACTAGCTTCAACCGCTATAACTTTGCGAGCGCCAGCTTGTGCACAGAAAACTGATAAAATGCCTGAACCTGCTCCAACATCCATAACGCATCTGCCTTCAAATAATTCTTTTTGGTTCATGATTGCAGACTTATATGCTCGAACCCTAGGACCGTCTTCTAGCATCAATCTATGAACCTAAAAAAATAATTAATGTTCATACAATGCATAACTTAATATTGCATATATATAACATAGTAATTCGCGTTCATTTATTATAAAGAAATATAATATTCAAGCTTCTCTACTCGAGTTGAAATTACAAGTTCTACTTTCTATTAAGAAAATTTAATAGAATCAATAATAAAAACAAATGTTCATAACTGAAGGGCAATGCCAATTAACATAAGATTTAAGTCAATTCATTAATGTACACGCGCTAAATCAAACCTCTAAATCCTCATAGCTATTGAAGTAATTTTCACTCATGTTGACACAACTATTTAAAGTTAATACCACTAGCACTAATATCAATATTGAATAAAATGGTTATTCTTAAATAATCACAAAGATTTGTAGAAAATCATTTCAAAACAACATATTAAAATATTATTTATAACATGTGTTTTTCGTAGTATTTGACAGGTGAGAATGACTTCCATAGATACCAACTGATCATCATATAGATAAGAGCAGTGGTTTCCAAACTTTTTCATCAACGTTTTTTTTTTAAATGACATCGCATTATAAAGGCTAATATGAAAATACACATAAAAAATAATTAATAATTATTTATTTTTCAATAATTGTTCGAGTTATTGATCGAAGCAATTGCTTTGTATTTAAAAGGAGTGTATTGGAAACAACAGCATGCCCCCCTTAAGAGCGCGGCTTTAAGCTCTGTTTTTTACATTTCCTTTTTTATAATTATATTAATTTTTATGCATAATGCAATTTTTTGGTTAAAACTCAGCAACATTTGGTATTATAAAATTCAAAGCATTTATAACTAAATGAATTAATTTATAAGTACTTATAAGTTTATATAATATACTTTATAACGTTTATAATTTTTTTTTAGAAGTTTTAATGTTATTTTTTTATAAACAGAGTTTGTTCAAGCTGTTTCCAAATAAATGGTAGAAACATATATTACTTTATCACATATAAATATCAAATATAAAATGTAACAATAAAACATAACATAAAAATAGTCAAAGTAAATTTTATTTTTATTATAATAAGAAATGATTGAATAATAAGACTTAAACTTATTTTAATAAGATTACACAATTGCACTTCTTACTCTAATTGGTTTTAAATTTATTTTATGGTAAATAAGCTAACTTTAATTGTAAGTGACACAATTAGTAATGTCTACCAGCAATTAATTTATAAATGTCAATATAAATATTAATTTCCGAAATAAAGTAAATGTAATAGGATCATGGATTTACATTAAACATTTTCAATAAGAATTCAAAAAAATGTTGATTCAAAAATAATAAAACCACTTTATACTCACAGTATAATCATACAGTATAAGTGGAATCATATTAATAATTTACTTAATATTCTACTAAATAATTATATGATTAATATGTTGATTATTTTATTATTTTATAAATCCAAACAGTGTCTATACCTTCACCAATAGTTTCATTTGGTTTCATATTTGGAAATGGAAATCGGCAAGCTGCAACCATAGTATCATTTTCAGATTCTTTTAATATTTTATTTTCTACATCTTGCATCTAAAATTACAAATGATATTTGCAAATTCACAAGCACTACATATATGTAATAATAGTAAAAAATAATTATTATTAGCAGATATGCCAGTGGTAGAATGATATGACTGTCTAATATACTTATTTATGGTTTGATATAAAAAATCATGAACTATATAAATTTAATAAAAGAAGATATAAAACAATTTAAATAAAAGAAATTTCACGTTTATGTACATACCATTTCTTCAACTCCAAAAATTACAATATTTTTATATGGTGATAAAGAAAATTTCCATAAGTCTTGTCTATAAAAATTTGTCATTTTATGAACATTTTGTTTAAATGCTGATATTCTTGAATACATAACAAGCCAAGGGTTGACCTCAACACCATCAGATTGAAAGCCTTTTTTGGCTGCAGCTAGAAAAAAAAATCAGTTCGATATTAAGTAAATCAAAATACTATTCAAGCAAAATAGTTCAGAAAAATAAATAAATTTGTATATATATTTATATATATATATATATATATATATATATATATATATATATATTCGATGTGACAAAATGTTTCTACCAATAACAATTCGGCCATCTCCTGATCCAATGTCTATCAATTTTCCTTTTCTTTGCATAACACCTTTTAAGACATTTTGTATTTGAGTTGTAGTGGCAGGTACAAAAGGTAAACAGTGACGCCTTAAAGCAGGAGTTACGAAGGAGGAACATATTACTGTTATTCCAATACCAATTCCACCTGTTAGGTTAGATTTCATATTAAAAATAATTAATGTGCAAACTTTTGTATTATTATATCAGCATACCTGTTATAGCTAATAAAAATTTTCCAGTTCCAGATATATGTTTAGTTTCTTCAGTAACATCTTTTATTTCTGAACTGATGTTCATATTATTTACGTAATGTAATCGAAAACTTTTGAAACGTCAAATTCCGAACATTTTCAAATATTGCGCTATGAATCATGTCATGATCATATTTTCGTAAGTGCAGTAGTGCAAACATTATCAAATAATAAACATTAAATCGATTGACACTGACTTTACTTTTGGCGCCAAAAAGTAGTTCCAGCTATCTTAGTTTGTTTAATGTTATGTTATGTTTTGATACTATTTTGTATTTAATACATAATTTTATGCTTTTAATTAGTTACGTGATTTTAGTTCATTAAAAGAAGCCAATACAAATAGTTAAATAGTTTTAAATTGTTACTTTTATAAATATTTAGCTCAAGGTAGTTATATTATTTTCTCCAATAATTATAATAGTTTTATATTTAATTTGTGTACTGTTATTTGGTTGATTTTTATATTGTCAATTACAAAGTTACTTTTTTTCTTAAATTTATTTGTATGTGCTAATTGAATTTGCATTTTGTATTATCCATGAAGATGCCTTCACCCGAAAAATCGTCAAGCCAATCTAGTTCTGACAGTACAAGAGCCCCAAGAACACCTAAAAGTAATCAAGGTGAATCTTCTACAACTCAAAGAACACCCAGATCTTCACAAAGGTTGGCACAAGGACAGTCACACCAATCATCACCAGCACGAACTCCTTCACGTAGAACACAGCAATCACAAGATGGACCTCAAACTCCTTCTGGTGTTAGTAGAAGAGGAAGGACACCAGTAAAACCTGGTAAGCATTTACCCAGAACTTCCAATAATCAATTATTATTCATTTTTCGAAGAAAGAACAAAAATTGATTTGTTTGTTTTTTCTGTTCTTAAGCTGAGAAGCAATAAAATCAATTATATTTTTATAAATTTGTATTGTTAAATATGTTACTCTGCAGAGAAAACTTGTTAGTAAAATTGATTGATTTATCAATAAAAACTGAAGAATCTATATGAATATATTTATATTAGTAGCTGGTCAATCTCAAGATTCTGTTGCTTCCACACCAATGAAATGGGGCCGCAATGCAAATTCAAATCGAAATGAAAATGTCACAGTTTCTGGATCAGACAGTGTTTCAATTCCTCCAACATCACCTGCTCAGCCTTTGGCTCCCACTAGTCCTTATGCTCATTTAAACTTAAGTGATATCGATTTGAGTTCTCCTTTAAATTATGGCACTCCCAGCTCAATGGGAAGTATCAGAACTCCCCGATCTGGAATTGCTGGAACACCTATCAGGCTCCGACCTGACATTCGTCTTGATAAAAGATTGCGACAAGTTCATGTTAATTCAGATCCAGTAAGTCATTAAAAGATTGTAATATATAAATAATTTCTAATTATTTGGAAATAAATTATAGCCAAGAACAGATCCTGCAGCACCTTCAGATCGAGATGAGTCTGAATCAGCAGGACCTCAGCTAGTGATTTGGGGAACAAATGTTGTTGTAAATGAATGTAAGAGGAAATTTAAAAGCTTTATTGAGCGGTATATTGATAACACTCCAGAATATGATGAGAGAAGTGAGGGAATGGATTTAAATGAACCTTTGTACATGCAGAAACTTGAAGAGGTCATTATATAATTTGTCACTTCATACACACACACACACACACACACATATATATATATATATATATATATATATATATATATAAATAAACAAACAACTTTCTTTTAGATAAAAACATTAGAAGAACCATTTTTGAATGTCAATTGTGCACATTTAGAAACTTTTGACGCTGCTTTATACAGACAATTATTATGCTATCCTCAAGAAGTAATTCCCACCTTGGATATGGCAATTAATGAAATGTTTTTTAATAAATATCCTGAGGCAGTATTAGATCACCAGATCCAAGTTCGACCATTTAATGCTGCCAAAACTAAAAATATGAGGGCACTAAATCCTGAAGGTTTATATATTATATGCATGATTTTTTTATGTAATATGAATGCTAATAATTATAAATACTTTCAGATATTGATCAATTGATTACTATATCTGGTATGGTAATTCGGTGCTCGAACATAATTCCTGAAATGCGGGAAGCATTCTTTAAGTGTATTGTATGCTCATTCACTAGTGCTGTAGAAATTGATAGAGGTCGTATTAATGAGCCTACATTGTGCTCTCACTGCAATACAAATCATTGTTTCCAATTAGTTCATAACAGATCTAACTTTACGGATAAGCAAATGATTAAGCTTCAAGAAAGTCCAGGTAGTTAAACGATTATTTTAAGAGTTTTAAAGTATGACTTTTCATTTTTATTTGAGTCATCAATTATTCTCAGATGATATGCCAGCTGGCCAGACCCCACATACCGTAATATTATTTGCCCATAATGATTTGGTTGACATGGTACAACCTGGTGATCGAGTAACTGTAACTGGAATATATCGAGCCATCCCAACTCAAGCTAATCCTAGAATGAGAAATGTCAGGGCAGTTTATAAAACTCATGTTGATGTGGTTCACTTCCGTAAGATTGATAACAAGAGACTTTATGAAACTGAAGAGGGGTATGTAAATTAATTGATTATCAACATTAAAATTGGATCATGATTAATCAAGTCTTTATGCTTTTAGAAAAGACCATGCTTTTCCTCCAGAACGTATAGAATTATTGAGGCTGCTCTCTCAAAAACCTGATGTATATGACCGGTTAGCCAGAGCTATTGCTCCCTCAATTTATGAAAATTTGGATATTAAAAAGGGAATTTTATTGCAACTTTTTGGAGGCACTAAGAAGACATTTACGACTTCTGGACGTGATCATTTTAGGTAATATTTCAACTCATATTATATTATTGTAATTTCAAAATCAAACCATTTAAAATCTTTAAATATTTGTCCTAAAGGTAAGTTGCCTGAATATCCCGAAATGTGGAAATATACTTAATCGATAGAAATTGAGATTAAAAGTATTTGGATAGATATTTGGTTTCATCTGTTTATTTCAAATATAATCTATTCAATTGTCAATTATGTTTCAAACAACTTCTAATATGAATCTTGTGCAAAAAAGTGAACAAAATTTTTTTCACTATTCTGCTAAATTCCAAAGAAACGGCTTGGCCGATCGACACGCAAAACTATAAGAAGGGTCATGTTTATAAAGTTTCCACATGGGCTTTTCAACATCTGAAATTGCTTCAGCGGTTTTTTGAAAATCAAATTATCAATTCACAAAACTTTTGACTTTTTATATATCGTTTTTTAAACTTTAACAAATTTTTGAAATTCAATATTTAGTATGACCATAATTTCTATTGTCAAAAAAAATCCATCAGAAATCCAAAAATTTTTTCAACTTTTGTCTTTACCGAAAACTACTCAACGTGAAAAACTAGAATTTTGCAAACAGTTTTCGATTCATTACATCAAATGGGTTGTAAATTTTAAAAATTGGTTTAGCTGTTTACAATGAAACAGAAAACGAAAGATAGAAAAATCGGATCACATACACACACACATACTTTTTCCAAATTCAGTCTAAATCGATTCAGGATGACTTGAAACGTCGAGAAAACAAAATTTTCGAGAAAACGATGTTTTTAACGAAAACGTAAACTTCTTTGGGAAGTTAACTAGTAACACATTTCAATATATATTTTGTTATTGTTCATTAACTAGTCTTTCATTATTAATTTTAGAGCCGAAATAAATATTCTTTTATGTGGAGATCCAGGAACAAGCAAATCTCAGTTACTACAGGTAGCTATAATTATCTGTAACACCTACTTTCTGCAATAGGTAATGATTGTTTAACATTGTTTTTAGTATGTGTACAATCTAGTACCTCGAAGCCAGTATACATCAGGCAAAGGATCTTCAGCAGTGGGTCTGACAGCTTATGTTACAAAAGATCCTGAAACAAGACAATTAGTATTGCAAACGTAAATATGCATACTTCTTACTTCTTTTAAGTTGCAAAATAATTAAAACAAAAATATTTCAGGGGGTCTTTGGTTCTTGCAGACAATGGAATTTGTTGCATAGATGAATTTGATAAAATGAATGATTCCACAAGAAGTGTTTTACATGAGGTATAAAAAAAAAAGAATTAATTTGGAGGCTTGAATTAATATGAATATGCTTTTTGCAGGTTATGGAGCAACAAACTCTGAGTATTGCAAAGGCTGGAATAATCTGCCAATTAAATGCCCGAACATCAATTCTAGCAGCTGCTAATCCTTGTGAATCTCAATGGAATAAAAATAAGACTATAATTGACAATGTACAATTACCACATACATTAATGTCTAGATTTGATTTGATATTTTTGATCTTGGATCCACAAGATGAATTATTTGATAGAAGATTAGCTACACATTTAGTTTCATTGTATTATGCAACTGGACAAGATGAAGAAGATGAATTATTTGTATGTTAAAATTATTTACCATTCTTTATACATAATAACCTTTAATATAATTTATTGTTATGTTGAAAACCTAGGATATTAGTGTTCTACGAGATTATTTAGCTTATGCTCGTGAACATGTGCACCCAACTTTGAGTGAAGAGGCTCAACAGAAGTTGATACTCGCATATGTAGATATGCGCAAGGTAGGCGCAGGAAGAGGTCAAATATCTGCATATCCGAGACAATTGGAAAGTCTTATACGTTTAGCAGAAGCTCATGCGAAAGTAAGGCTCAGCCCAGTGGTTGAGCTAGTTGATGTTGAAGAAGCATGGAGGTGTGTACATAGATGTAACCAAATGAATTGAAAATGTATATCCATTTTTTTTTCTAAATCATTTTCTCATTTAATAGGTTGCATCGTGAGGCCCTAAAACAATCTGCAACAGATCCTTTATCAGGTAAAATAGATGTAGGAATTTTGACAACTGGTTTAAGCAGTGCTGCTAGAAAGCATAAGGCAGACCTCATACAAGCAATAAAAGCAGCACTTAAATCTAAAGACAAGCAGCCAACAATAAATTATCAGAAACTCTTAATGGATATTAAAGAAGGCAGTCAAGTTGTAAGCATTCTATACTAGAATACATGTCAAATCGCATTTACTTTAATTTATTAAAATAAATAATAATTATGAAATACTATTTCAGATGGTAACTCGAGAGCAATTTGAAGACGCACTTAAAGAAATCCAAGATGAAGGCCTCATAGTTGTTATGGGAAAAAGCACAATTCGAATTTGTTGATTTGTTTTTTTTTTTTTGTATTTAATGCTAATTATTCGACAAATAAAGTTTTTCAATCAATATATATGTTATGTGACATTAGTTTTTAAAATGTTATCTCTTATCATCAGAGAGTCTTTGTGACACTGCTTTTCGTATTGGTCCTTCTTTTAAAATACTCATATCTAAAACATAGTAACAACTACATAAATATTTACATGCAAGCATAAATAAAAAATGCATATAAAAGAACCTCTAGTACGTGTCTGACCTATGGGTCGAGAACTGGTTCCATCGGGGTTTCTCATCTCTCCTTCTTGGATCATACGTCTGCGCTCCTCTATAGCTTGTGTGAGAGCAGCATTTTCAGCAGAATTTAGTCCTGAGTTTAAATTTTGAAATTGACAATTTAATGTGTAAAATACAAGTTACTTATAATCAAAGTGTTATTCTTTTTGTAAAATAAAGAATTTAGACATTTTCATGTGATCAAGGTAAATAAAATCCTCCGCTGTACTTTTTTTTCTTAATTATTTATAGGTTTAAATTTTGAAAGAACTATGTATAATACTTAATGGCTTCTTATAAAATTCATTTTGCGTCGAACACTGATAAATTACTCAAAAATTCATATTTTCTTTATTATGTTAATAAACTCTTGTTGATTTCGTTTGCGTGCTTATGATTGAAACAAAAAATGTGTTGATTGTTGTTGAAGATATTAATATTTTTGATATTTTAGACTTATAATTAATTATTCACCTAATAATCGTGAATCCATTCCAATCCAGTCGCTCTGTACGACCTGATCAATCCGCCATCGTTTGCTTGGTTCCGGCTCCATCATATTAATAACGCATTTTTTCACTTGTTCACTTAAGGCATCTACTACACGAGCACGAAATTTCCAACGACGATTAATTTGTTGTTCATGTAATCGCTAAAATATAAAAAAAATCAATTAAATAAAATTGAATACACCTAAGTCTGTTTTTACACGGCAGATTGGTTCCAGAAGAAGCCGTGTAAAAAAAGACATTGATCTTATACAAAAATGGGTGATTTGTTTCTAATCTCTAAAACCTATTAAAATTAGTGAAAAACAAGAATTTTTAGGGTATTCCCCTAAATTAGTGCCATTCACATTTGCTTTGACCAGTAAAATCGTTTGTACGCGCTAAAAGGGAATTCACTTAAATCTTTAAGCTAGTGTTCGCAAACTATCAGACTTTTTTCTTTCATAAATACTTTTTTGTGATATGAACATACTTCGCAAAAATTAAATTTGACAAAAAAATTTAAGTACATAAAATTTCAAATCGTGCTAAATGGAATAAAATCGTGTAAAAAAATTAAAAATATTCTATTTTCAAACCGTATTGATGTTGGGGGGTTTCTCAACCCCTTTCGAAGTATTTTATACTTCGAGGAAAAATAAAAAAATTAAATGTATTCAGAAAACAAAAACCAATGGTAAACAAATATAAATTAAAAATAAAATTCTTCTTACTCCGTAATCAATAATAAACTAAAATATATTCTATATAAATTTTATATAAATGAAAAAACAAAAATGAACACTAATTAATATTGTATGAAAATGTTATCTGTTTTGGAAGTCCAAGCCGCGGCAGCTATTTGGTTGGATCTGGAAACATCAGCGTAGTCGGTTGGATAGGTTGAAAAGAAATTCGAATACACTGACAAATAAAAATAACTGTTGACTTGACACACAATAGAAATTTAATCCACTGATAATATTGAACTGATAACAAACACTGAAAGGAACTGAATGTATTGATTGCAAGTAACTGAATGAATGAATTAAACCAAAATGAATGAAAACCACGGAATAAATCAACTCGAACACTGTAAGGAACTGAAAGTAACTGAACGAATGAAAGGCGCGGAATGAATTGATTTGAATGCTAAAACTATTGCCTGCATCGGCCTTTTTATGAGTCAGAATTGCCCGATTGCCTAAATTTGAAACGTATTGTCCGAGTAGAAAAACAAACCTTTTACAGGTCCGACAACCTACACAGGTGCGGCGCAAACATTTTCCCCCGACTAAAAGGTTAGCCTTTTATACTTCTGAAAATACTCGAAATTGGTACATAGTGAACCTCATGATTAGGAAGGATAGAATTGCCAAAATAAATTCAAACTTTCATTCAGAGTAGATCGGTTACGGAAGCCTGACCTCGCGCCAGGGTCCCGCTCTCACACCTACCACATTCACACAATCTAGATTGCGGAAGTTTTATTTTCGCGCCAGGGTCTAGATTTTTTGGACATTTACAAGAATCTTCCAGAGACTATGAGGGGTGTTCTCATCGCCCTGGAGATTGAAAATTTGGCAAAACTATATATAGAAGCAAATATATCATGAGATAGAAAAGTTTTTTTTTTTTTTGAAATGAATAATTCAGATATAAACTATTGAATAGGTAGGGGGCATAGTTTGACAACAGGCCGCTTGATTAGGGTATTTCCCGTTTTTACCAATGCTACTCGAACCACTCCATCGGAGCCCGGAAAAACCTCTTCAACTCTTCCCAACCCCCAATGGAGCGGACGCGCATTCTCTTGTTTTACAACTACCAAATCACCCTTTTTAATAGGATTAGTGACTGTATTCCATTTCTGTCGGACCTGTAGCTCGGTTAGATATTCCACATTCCATCGCTTCCAGTAAGAAGCGACAATATGATCTAACAATTGTTTTCTTTTAGTCAAATTCAAGTTTTCATAGTCAACGGGCAAATCCGACAGAGGCTCTTGCATTAAAAGTGCGCAGGCGTAAGAGGTTGAGGATCCGATGGATCATTGCTCAGCCAACATAACGGTCTTGAATTCAGTAAGGCTTCGATTTGATTGAGGACTGTATTAAACTCTTCGTAGGATAAAATTTGCAACCCTATAACTTTAAACAAATGGGTCTTCACTGATTTAATATTCGCCTCCCATATACCTCCAAAATGTGGGGCAAACGGTGGATTAAATTTCCATTCAATGTCATGTAAAACCAATAATTCATTGAAACGCTTTTTATACTCTTCGGAATTTAGGAGAAGGAATAAGGAATCAAGAGTATTTTTGGCTCCTATAAAATTGGTTCCACAATCGGAGTAAATACATTTAATAGGACCACGCCGGGCTAGGAATCGTTTCAAGCAATCTAAAAATGTATCGCTTGTTAAATCTGAAGCTAATTCGAGATGTATCGCCTTAGTGGCTAAACAGATGAACAAGCATATATAAGCCTTGTAGGTTCGAGCGCCTCTGTGACGACTCATGGAGATATTGAAGGGGCCTGCATAATCAACGCCGACGTTTAGGAAAGCTCTACTGGCTGTTATGCGCGGTACTGGTAAGTCGCCCATGAATGGAAAAATGGGTTTCGGATTCTGTCGAAAACAAGTTATACACTTGTGAAGACGATTACGAATTATTGCACGAGCCGACAAGATCCAATATTTTTGCCTCAATAAAGATAATACTAAGTTTGATCCAGTATGTAAATTATTAATATGGTAGTAATCTATGAGACAATTTACTACTTGGTCTTTTTTTGGCAAAAGAAGTGGATTGTTATTAGTTGTTAATCCTAATCTACCTTTAACGCGTAAACAATTATTAGAATCCAAAACCACATTTAGTCGGCAAAACTTCTTCGAACAAGACTTTCCGTTCGTTAATAGTTTGAATTCTTCGGGAAAATGATGTTCTTGGACTAAACGAATAATAATAACCTCGGCTTGTTTCAAATCTGAAGTCAAAAGTCGGTTTCGATTTGTTATAATTTTACAAAACTTCAATATATAAGCGAAAATTCTTACAAGTTTGCACCAATTAGAAAATTTTTGCGTTAATTCATATAAAGGATTGATCGGTGGTATGACACTCTTTACTATTAGAGCGTTAGCTTTTCTTTCTTGATCAATATCTCCGGAAGGTTCAACCGTTTTTGCAGGCCAAGTTGATATAGGACCATTCAACCAATCCGGCCCAAACAACCAATTCTTATGTTGGATAAAATCCTTAGGTCGAAGACCTCGAGAAACACAATCGGCTGCATTTTGATTAGAAGGAATGTGAAGCCATTGTGCATTAGGAATGAGATCCCGTATTTTTGTTACCCTATTGGCTACAAATGTTTTCCAACGAGTAGCCGGTCCTGCTAACCAGTGAAGGACAATCATAGAATCGGAAAAACAGTAAATAGAATCAAAATCTATACTATGTTGGTTATTCGTTAATATAAAATTCAGAAGTTTTGACAGTAAATGACAGGCACAAAGTTCAAGCCTGGCTAATGTTTGGTTTTTAATCGGTGTTACACGCGATTTTGAAATCAACAAGAAATTCGGATTGCCAAGAGATTTAATATAAACTACCGCTCCATACGCTTGCTCTGAACTATCCGCGAAACCAAATAATGAACATTTGTTTTGTTTTGATGTTTCGAGATAACGCGGAATCTGATAGTTATTAAGATGCTCTAATTCGGAATATACGGCTAACCATGATGTAATAATAAATGATGGTAATTCCTCATCCCAATCGATTTTTAATGTCCAAATTTTTTTCAATAATATTTTTATCTTAACAACTATCGGAGTTAGGAAACCCAGAGGATCCCAGATTCGCGCTATTACTGAAAGAAGTTGTCTCTTTGTCCATTTTCTCCACGTAAGCTTTATTTCGAATGAAAAATTATCTGATAAGGGATCCCATTTTAATCCCAATACCTTTGTAGAAGATTCCATTTGAAAATCCGATTTAGAGAAATGTTTATTTTGTACATCAGAATCAGAAAAAAGTTTACGCAGATTAGAATTATTAGATTCCCACTTTTTTAATTCAAAACCACCAGACGATAATACAGTCTGCAAACCCTCGCAAATGGTTTTAGCGCTATCCAAGGAGTCGATACTTGTAACCACATCATCAATATAGACATCGTTCTCAAGAATTCTAGAAATAGATTGAGAATATTTGGAACATTCGTCTCGGGA